CCCATTTCCTGCAGCCAATGCAGCATTGCTCCCTAGTTTATGGGCCACATCTTGCCAACGAAGCAAAGCCCAAATGACTGGGGTGATGCTAAGAAACGAGAACAGTGAGCCCATGTAGCCATGTCATAGCTGCAATTACAGAGGATGGCGTAAGTGGCCCAGTATTGAGCTCCTACGTGTGGGGGTTGGCTCCCAGACAGTACATCCACGGCCCACCCACATTGCTCCCTTGTGTAGTGAGCTGAGAAACCTGCCACTGAGTTCACTTCTAGGGCATGCAGTCTTCAGGAGCTCGCCTCAGTTTTGACACGGAGCAGCAAAAGTGATTTTGTTTCCACTGCTTTTGGCCTTCATACCCGCATTGACTGAGCACAGGATTAGGCCGACAATCCCAAGTGCTTTGCCCAGTTTGGTTTTGCTGGGAAGACAATCTAACCAACCTTGTCAGTAGGAAACTCGACTTCTTATGCAACCTTACTTTTCCTGTGCTATGCTAGTCCCGGTTACTACCCATTAGACTAAAAGCTTCTCCTTCCTTGGCATTTACAACTTCCAAATATTTGAAGGCAGCCATATGCAATCATTTAACCAAACCGTAAATATTTGTCTGAAAATGCGCCACAGAAGTCAGCCGTCTAGCTCATAAATCATTTTGTTGCTGTTCTCTGAATGCCCTCCAATTTGGCAACAATTTTGAGATGTTGCATTCGAGCTGCAGTCTCACCAGTGCCACAGAAAATACACTATTGCTTCTCCAGTCTGAGACAGGATTTCTGCCTGTGCAGCGCTGCTGCCCCCCTCCCCCCACCGCCTTTTCCCCCCCTTATCACATCACAAGGTCATATCAAGTAAGCTGGCTGCTACCACTCTTAGACCTTTTTCAGCATTACTGCTTTCCAGATCTCGCTCTTCCCTTGAGTATATGTGTTTGGAATTATTTTCCCAAATATTATATACTGTAGATACTCGTTCATTAGCCCATTCGTTTATAAGCCGACCCCCCAAAATGGATAGGTAAAAATAGCAAAAACTGTATGACACTTTCATAAGCCAACCCTATATTTCAGGGGTTGGAAAACTTTGGCTCCCGGGCCGTTCGGGTAAGGCGCTGATGGGTCGGGTTTGCTTTGTTTACTTGGAGCGTCTGCAGGCTTGGAGCCCCTCAGCTCCCTGTGGCTGTGGTTGGCTGTTCCCACTTCCTGCAGTGCCCATTGGCTGGGAACGGCGAACTGCAGCCACAGGGAGCTAAGGAGCTCCATGCCTGCAGACGCTCCAAGTAAACAAAACGACAATGTATTAGATATTCAATTCAATGATTCCATAGAGTTTAAAATCATCAAATTTTGGTGTTGACCCGTTTATAAGCCAACCCCCGCTCTTCAATGCGTCACTTTTTTACCAAAAATATTTGGCTTATGAATGAATATATACAGTATTGTTTTGGGGCTTTTCTGGGGTTGGCTCTGATTTAAGTTCCTATCTTTAATGCTTTAGTAATTTAACTGTATTTGACCATGGACATTCTTATTAATGAAAGGTTAGTTTTTTTTCTAGACCATAGCATAATTAATGGCCAGAAGAAGAAAACCCCCAAAGAGATTTCTGTTTCTCATTGACTTCAAGTTCTTTTCAGTAGAAAAATGGGTCAGTCAGTGGAAACCAGTTCCATTCTACTGGTGCCTACAGCTTAATATCCTATTTAATTTCCTATTCCACTCAAAAAAGCCACATTACTTCAAGCAGTCTGTCTTCAGGCAGAAGTGCATCGTTTAAAGGAAAATAGCACGCACGCTGCTGCAAGAACTTAACTATTTGGGGAATACCAACTGGTAACCTGGACTCATACTTCAGATCTATCTGTTTCTGCCACAGACCCATTTTTGTGCCTTTCAGAGCCTGCCTTAACATGCTAGGGCAGAACACAATTTATTCTTCATCTTTGATGTCGTCTTCAAATGATTTATCTAAAGGTAGGAATCTTTTTTTTTTTTTTTAACCTCCTGCTTAAAAATTAAATTGTTGGATTGGTGTTTTCATGTCACATCAGGATTTGAAAGGATCGTTAATCTTTAACCAAGAAATCAGTTAAAATCTGAATACATTAGACTAAGTAACTGAGATTTTTAAACTGCTTTTACGGATCTAAAGGTTGTGTGACATTTAAATGCAAACGGATACATAAACACTAGAATTGTGTACAGAAATGAAAGTGTTTTGTGAATATTAAGACTGAAAGTAAATTTTGAGTTGACTGCATTTGTGACCTTTTCATTTCATTTTCACATTCCATGATCATTCAAGTTTCTTAGCATGAACACTCATGAAGAATGAATTTTTAAGCTTGATATTCACTAAATACAAATGTACTATTATTTGGACTACAAATAGTAGCACCCAGAGGCCTCAGTCGGGATTGTGTTCCCACTTCTACTATGTGTTTGTACAACTCATAGCGCAGACAGTTCTTGCCCTAACCAGCCTATAAATTAGAATATATACATTAGATTGCAAATTGTCAGTGTTACTATCTATGCTGTACGCTGTTAGCTACCCAAGTCATCTAGCCACCAAACAAACAATACCATGTGCCTTATATATTATATTATAATCAAATATAAATGTTACATAAGTCACATGGTATTGTTTCTGTTCCCTCATTGGACAGTGTAACATACCATGAACTTGGAATGGCAAATTGAAAATTACCAGCTGATCAACAATTATTTGCTGGAGAAAGCTGCAAAAAATGAACCGAAATGAACTGTTTTTGGACATTGTGCAAACTTTTTTTAAAAAATGAAACTGATGAAATAATCTACTAGCTACGAATTGTAACTAAGGTATAATGAAAAACCCGGATAACTGTCAGGATATGCAAACACGTTAACTTCCGCTGTATATAACTAGAATTATTGTGCTTTATGTTTTAGGAGCATACTGTACATAATGCATATCTTTTTTCTCTTTCCAAAAACAATGTATAAACCCCAAAGAAACCCAGGCACTTAGCTAGCATATATGCTCATCTGCCATTTCCTTATTTATATACTCCAAGGGACCATAAACTCATGTTCTTATGTAGCAGCAGTACAGGCAGTGAGACTGCCTCCCACTCTTCTTGTTTCCAGCTGCTTCTACAGCCTCTAGGCTCTTCCTTCCTAGGCAGCCTACCACCCTAGGGAGTTGTAGAAGCAGCTGGAAATAAGAACAGCCAGCCAGCTAGATCTCCATGGACCACCATCAAACTGCTGTGCAGAGCAACTCCTTACAATGTTTTAGCGTGTGTGGCTCTGCAGAGCTGAGCATTTTTCTTTTCTAAAACTACTCTAATCTCACTCCGTGCAAGTTCTAATGAAATCCAGGAGTCCTATCTATTGTGTGTGGGTGGTCGTGTCAGTGGAAAGATCCTGATGGAGAAAACTCAGTCTGCCCCCACCTCACACCTTGTCACTCCTCTCCATTGTCTTCTCTTTCCTTTCTTCTTCCTCTTCCACATTGTGCTGACTTTCACCTACCTCATCATCTTCTCCACACCTTTTTCTCACCATCCTCTTTTCCTTCTCTTACTCCTACCCTGCCACCTTTCCCACCATTTTATAGCTTATGTCCTGCCTTTCCATTACATTATCATTCTATTCTCTCACACTTATTCTTTTCTCACTTCCTGTTTTCCTGCTATCTTCTCCTCCTCCCATCCCACTCAACTGGACAGTGTCTGTTCTCACCCACGGTATCCCCTTGGCTCCTTCCCATTGCCCTGTCACTCTTTTCAAAGAACAGGTTTGCATTTGCTTATCTTAATCCATGAATGTACGAAGAAGAATTTAAGACTTCTCAGAGTAAGTTGGTAGATACGCAAATGAAGGTGAAGCCAAACCGTACCTGCCAAGGATGGAGTGAAAATGTATTTGTATTACATAGTCATTTGTTCCAGTGAGAGCCAGAAAGACACAGGAAAGAATGTTTGGGATACAGTAAAGATTTTGCAGGCATGCGGCTGGTAAGAGCAAAAGGAACCTTTAAATGTTCTAGGTAGGGAAAGCATGTTGTATGCTTTCATAGGATGAATTAGACAAGAGTTCCGAGTTGACTGATGTCTGATTTTGTAATTAACTCTGAACTGAAATCCTCTGACCTTGATGGGGAATAGATTAGAACTAAAAACACTGGAGGAGCTACACATTTTTGAGTGTTTCAGATGATGCCTATTGGCCTGCTGTATTTATGTTAATATTCTTCCTAAATATGGTTTGCTTTCTTACACTGGATGTATGAAGTTCATTTAAATAGGAAGCCCAAATAAGCAAACAGTATGATAAGCATCTCAAGCAACCTGAATCCAGCAACATTTAAATTATACAATTAAGTTCAAACAAAATGTACCATTTTTGCAGATAAGAGGAATAGTGTTTATAATTATGCCTTTGCTTTATTTACAAGTCCACATTCAATGGAAGAGTGACTCAGTATTCTTCCCAAAGAATGCTTTTGATCTGGGTATTTTTTTAGCAAAATTTTATAAAACATGGTACCAAGTACAAATATTGTCCATTTTAACATTTGGTGTTAATATAGCACGTTCCATCTGAGGATGTCAACATGTTTTATAAACGCTAATTGACAATTTCACAATATCTTCAAGAGGTACATACTGCTATATCCCTGTACCAGCCATAAGACAAAACTTCCTCTCATGGCTCTAATGATTACACTAGCCTGGGTATCTGTTAACCATTTAGTAAACTATACTTTTCTTTTTGGGAGACCCATGGATGCTGCAAATACCCTTGCTTTTATAATGTACAGATTTTTTGTACAGAAAAATGTAACTACCAATATTCATTGCGACATAGCTTTTAAAAATCTATTCATCTTGTCAGATCACTCAGATACATTATGGTCCATGCCATCATGCTGTATTTTCTGTAAACATTACAATTAACAATAGCTTTTAGAAATAATATAGTTTAGCAAGAGAAATTTACAATGCCTTGACTCACCTGAGTGTCTATTTTAATTAGTGCAATATCTGCTTTTTCATCAACATCTTTAATTTTGGCTTCGTATGTTGCACCATTCTTCAGCTCCACTTTTACCCTATGTTTATTGGTAACTACATGGGCATTTGTTACTATTAGTCCATCTTCTGAGACAATGAAGCCTGAACCACTAGCAACAGGAACCTCCCTCTTTGTAAAAGGAAGCCTAGAAAATATGGGAAATAAACATTTAAGTTTGAAGAAAATTCAGGTTGTTCAGAGATGACAAATCATTTGTGATTATTGTTTCGTTCCAACAAGTATTTGGCACTTTTACAAATATTTTAGAAAATGTAGTATCATTTATTAAGTATATCCATTAACATTTAATTGGACATGCATTAGTCTAGTAACTTCAAAATTTGTGCCAAAATTTTTAAAAAGTGAAACATACTATGTTACTTAAGTGTGACACATATTTATTATCTTGAATAAATATTATCTTGAAAACAGTGTCATTATTTTATTTTATATCCATATATCCGTATATTAACTGATTCTGGCAAGTTTAATCCTTGTGAGCTACAGAAATATAAATCAAAACTGGGTATCTTGTTTACTTGCGAAACAATTCAATATGAACCACAGCCGGGGCTATCTTCTCCACCACATCTGCAATAAAGTTGTATTTGTGCCGTAGGCTGTTAGGATCTTCCTGGCCTGAGAATGGACATAGAAAACACATGTTAGTCTTCAAATGGCAGAAGAAGAATCGTTGCAAAACACTTGCGCTAAAAAACACTAGGTAGAGATTACTTTTTAAGAGGAACCATAGAGCCTTGTAGTTTTGAGTCTGATCCCCGCCCTAAACCATTCCCCTAACTTTCTGAAAAAATTTTACTGGCAACATAGCCGGTTCATAGGGCAAAGGGGTCTACGGAAAATTCTGAATGGATATGGAACCTCTTTCTATATCCAATGTACTTGCACTAGAGGGGGAGAGAGCCGTTAGACAGAGTACTAGGCTGGAAGTCAGGAGACTTGGGGTCTAGTCCCACTTCTAACATTCTGGTCTCTGTAGGCAAGTCAGTTCATATTTATGTGCCTCCATTTCCCCTCTCACCCTTCTCTGTTTTATTCAGCACAACAGAGACCAATCTCAGTTGAGGCTGCTGTAATACAAATAACATTAACTGAGATTTGAGATTATCTAACTTAGCCTCTACCCTCCGGACCCCTTCATACAGGACTCGGCTGTATCCGCACTGCCTATAGAGCTGGGAGTATAACTGACTTTTTGGTTCACTGACAGTTCCAAAAATTAAAAAAATTAAAAATAAAATGGTTTGGGTTGAACTGAATCTGAAAACTACAAAAAAAAAAAAAAAAAAAAACCTCCAGTGAATTGAAAAATCCATGTTGGGTTGAATGAAACATGTCATTCGATCTGGTATTTTTAAAGTGCTAGATTCACAAAATGGCCAGAGGAAGTGGCTGGGGTGGTGCCCCCTCCTTGTAACTTTTAGTACAGGGCACTCACCTGGGATGTTACGGACCCAATTCCCCCATCTGCCTGATGTGGAGAAAGGATTTCAACTCGGGTCTCCCATATTGCAGAAAGGCACCCCAGTCACTGAGGTATGGGATTTTCTGGTATGGCAATCTCTCAATCGCTCCTGCTGAAGTGCGTCTATTTTTAATAATTAGTCATTGGAGCAGGACATGAACTTGGGTCTCCCACACAGGGCCGGCTCCAGGCACCAGGCACCCAAGCTGGTGCTTGGGGCGGCACCTGGAGGGGGGCGGC